CTTTTCTCTCTTCTTCTTTTCTGGTGGAGTTATGTCAAATTTGGCGCAACCATATTTATGTAAAAGTTCTTTGTCCTTTAATAGCTCTTCTATTCTGTTTTCTATTTCATCTTCAAGAACAGCGCATGTGTCTTCTTTGCATTCTAAGAACTTTTGTTGGACTTCATCTCTCCAAGAGGCGTCATCTCTGTCAACAAGTCTGTCATTGACAAATTTTAAGACTGCTCTTTAATGTTTTATGGTTCTTGTCATATTCCCAGAAACAGAACTTTAGAACAAATTCACCTTTCTTGTTTACACTATGTAAGATTTTATGGTCGACAGATGTTTTGCTGTCGAAAAGCTTGTCTCGAATATAGATAGCGAAATCGCTAGACATTTTCTAAAAGATAAAAATTTTAATTTTTCTAAAAATATGTTAGAAAAAAAGTTTGCTGACATTGACAAGAAATTTGAGAATGTTTTAAACAAGAACAAGAGGAAGTTAGAAAATGCTCAGATAAAGCCTATACATGACAAGTTCTTATTTGCTCAGAATGGTATAACAGGTCTAATTGCACCACCTGGGTCGGGTAAGACTTTCACTTATCTTAAAATGGCTGCACAACAACAAGAACTAGATGAGAAGAACCCATTCTATGAGTTAGTTGTCATTTGTAGTACTTCTGGTCAATTTGACCAAACCGTCAATTCGTTCAAAGATATTATAAAGAAGTCTAAGTTAGTATGTATAAAGGATACTGAGTTGTTAGATTGGATAAAGAAGTACCAAAGAAGAGTTTTGAAGTATAATGCTATAAATGAGTATATAAATTCTAAGTTTAAAGACCCAAATGAGGAAATGCAGAGAATATTAGAGAAGAAACACTTCAGAAACAAACAGAAAGAGATAGAATACATTTCGAAGAAATTGCAATCTTACGATTGGAAGACATACCCTCATAGATGTCTTCTTATCTTAGATGATTTGCTTCTCATCCTTTGTTAAAGAACAGAGAACAAGATATGTGTCGAATTCTTAAGAAGCTCAGACACTTTAACATCTCAGTTGTCATTTGTGTACAGACAGCAAAGAGTTTAAGTAAGGATGTTAAAAGAATACTTACTGACATATACTTTTCCCCGGATTGTCCGAAGACGATTTCATGGAACTTATGAAAGAGTCCATGGCAGGTAAGTTTGACAGACATGAACTATGGGAGAAGTACAAAGTCATACAAGACCCTCATACTTCTTTCAGAATTCATATCTACGCAAACAAAGTTCAAATTGTAAAAAGTCAAGCTTGAAAAATAAAGAGTTCATTTACTCTGCTTGTTTGAAGTTGTCAAAATACTCTGTTATTTTTTCCTTCAGTAGGCAAATCTTCTTTGAAGGTAAGTTTGTACAACCTTTAATATCATAGTGTGTTTGAGGTAACGTATCTTGAACTATTTGTTTCACATCTTCATTTGGTGTCATTGAAATCGGTAAGTTTTCGCGATAGAACCAATTTCTGTCAGATTTGTAAATCTTAGCAAGGTCGTAAAAGCTTTTGTTGTTTCTTCTGACTAAATGCAACATAACCATATCTCTGTCTTCTTCATTTTCCATCTCTTCAGTATAAATCATATACTTATAGTTCTTTTCCTTTCCTTTTGGTACCGAACGTGGTATTCTTTTCTGAATGCTTTTGTCTTTTGCTTCAAGCTTGTTCTCTAGCTCTTCACGTTCTTGTCTATGAATTTCGTCAAGAAGTCTGTAAATATACCAAGCATAACGAGGCGAAGCCCACATTGCAACAGCATTTACAAGAAGTCTATGTACATAATATCCTCTTAAATTTATTGGCAAATTTTTACGATTTTCATGTGTTTTATGCAAGACCGAGAATTCTCGGTCTAGAGAAATTTCACTCAAAAGTTCTTGTGTGCTTCGGTTTTTGAACCAATCGTCTGCGTGTTTGGTATCTGGAGCAAAACATGCAGTCAAAATACTTTGCATTTGGTACATATCGTCTTTGACCGAACGAATTAGACGCAATTGTTTGTTAAACTGTATGTACTCGTATTCTTCATTTATAGCTTCATGGACTATAACTGTTGTTGTGTTCTCGGTTGTTGACATATCTGTCTTTATATTCCGGATAAAAAAATAAAAAAAATAAAAATAACTTTATTTTTTATTTCGGGAAAATTCATGAAAATTCATGAGGGTAGAAATGAGGGTAGAAATGAGGTTAGATCTAACCTTCTACCCTAAATTATATTTTTACTGAATTCAGCAACAAAATTCAAATTGTAAAAAGTCAAGCTTGAAAAATCTAAGTGTTTAGTCTTAGTAAGATGGTAGCTTCTTAAAGCAAATACCATTGCTGAGTTTTTATGTACGTGAAGAGAAGTACAATGAATTCAATTACGAGTACAATTGCAATGACAACTAAGGCAACTATTTTTGTCTTTTGCCAGCAAGGGTACTTCTTCTCTTCCAATGGTTCGGCAGAACTATACTCACTCATGAGAAATGCCAAAACGGTTTAATAGAAAAAGTGTCATTTTTTCATGTCCGAAGACTCGAAGGTGCAACACTTCCAAAATACCGACGAACTCAGAAGAGCAGCATGGCAGTATGTTCTTGACAACTTCTTTGAGTTCTCCAGGAACACCTTGGAAAATGCTGAAGAACTCCGACACAGAGAATTTGGAGAAATTGCACTCCAATACTACCTTGACAAACAAAGGGTAAACAAAGGGTAAAATAAGACTAAAAACTTAACGTTTAAAAAGTGACATTTTTAATGAGCTCCGAGTCACCGAGAAAACTTGGTCAGATGTTAGCAGCTTACTTCCCTGAGGAGGATGGAAGCGTTACATACATAAGGTTCAAAAACAACGAACCTGGAATTGCGTACCAAATTCGCAATTGCATGACCATGGAAGAGTACGAAAGGTTCCTACAAGAGAAACCAGCTCTAAACAACTCAGAAAAGAAAGAGTAAAAAGTTTAATCGTAATTGTTTATTTTTTTACTTGTATGGGGCAAGCTGCAATGAAGTCGACTATCCTCCGTCTTTGTTTTGACGAGCTGGACGGCTCTTGCGAGTACGTCTGTTTTGCGGTCTCCAGCTGGTGTCTGACCTTCGTAATTGCGCATGTTCTTGAGAGCTCCAACTGTAAATGATTGTAGGATGAAGAGTCTCTCAGACTGCTTGAGGTAGTCTTCACGGTCACGAACTGAATCTGTGGTACGAGTCGAATCGGTCGATTTGAGGGAAGAGACTGAAAGCCTGTCGTCTTCCATAGGGGCTGTGGCATAATCTTTGCGTAAGCGGTTCAGACCTTCCTCGAACTCTTGGTCTCTCTTGGATTGAGATTGGAATTGCTGGGGTGGAGCTTGCTGGAACATCCAAGGGTTGGGGAAGTAAGGCATAGGCAGAGGAGGGTAGTTCGGGAAGCCTTGTGGTGGGTAGTAACCTTGAGGTGGAAATTGGTAGTAACCTTGAGATGGAAATTGGTAGTAATTTGGTGGAGGGACTTGCTGGAACTGAGGTTGCTGAGGAGACTGTTGTGGTTCTGCAGCTTTCGGTTCTTCTGGCTTTGGAAGGCATTCAGGAAGAGGAACGTCAGTCATTCGTTTGTGTCCTGTCGGATGGAAAATATTTTCCTGTCGGAAGGAAAAACTTTTCCTGTCGGAAGGAAAAATTTTTCCTGAAGTTCGACCAAAAAGTTCTCAATTTTCGAAAATTTGAATGGTTTACGGACGGACAACTGGAAGAGTTCTTCCTGTCGGAAGGAAAAATTTTTCCCTTTGTCCGGAAAATTTTTTCCAGTTGTCGGGAAAATATTTTCCTGTCGGATGGAAGGACTCGGAATGCCAGAAGGATTTGACGAGGCAATTTACCTTATAGAGATAAATGAAGTTGTTAAGCAGTACTTGCGCAGGGTAATGAAGCCCAAGGTCAAGTTCACCGCTATTTCTGGAAGGGCTGTCTTGAATCTCGAGACTTCGACTGGAATTCCAATTCAAATACCAGAAAACACTCCTTTCGATGGCATAAAGGACGCCAAAAGAGAAGCTCTTGTTAAGTTCCTAAACAAACGTCCTTGGATAAAAATACCAAACAAGGAGAACCCCCTACCATATGAAATTGGCAATTCAGTCTCTCCTTAACTTCTCGGGTCAGCCGTTCTACATAACCTGTGAAGGCGACATCCAACCAGTTCAGTCAACCTTAACGTTTTGAGTAAAAAATTTTTTTTCATTTTTTGAATGAAGCAAGTTAAATTCGTCCCACACCAATCTCATGGACCGATGAAGAGTTTCAAGCCATGGTTGAAGCGCGTTGAGAACGACATAGACGGCGAACTTGAAGGAGCTCAAATCACAATTGCAACCAAAATTGCAGAGGTCAAGGAACAGATAGCTCCACTTAAAGCTACCAAAGCTACTCTTGACCTCGGATAGTTACCGTTTAGATGTCAGAGTGGAATAAGACAATTAAAATTAAAACTTCTAAACTACGAAGCTATACTCCAAAAGTTAGCAGAAATGAGAAGACTTTACCAGAGCTACTTACATGTAAGGGACTTACCTTCAAGCAGTCCGACCAAAGATGAATTTTCTGACATTGTCCCAATTTTGTCCGAAAGTCAGCTCAGATGTTTTGAACTGCTCCCAACATATCCAGAATATGAACGTTTGCCTGAACTCTTCCGCAATCTCAAAAAACGTTTTTTGGTTCTCATGTTCGAAACTTTTATCGGAAGAGACAACAAACGTTCAGAAGAAGAACAAGATATTATTTTAAACTTGTTGTATGACATAACTGTCATAACAAGCTTTTTGAAGTAAAACCGCCATTCTCAAACCACTTCATTTTTTCGATGTCCGAACAAGCACCGAAGCCGAACACAATAGCAGATGTCCTTTCAAGGTTGCCAGACAAGCGCCCAGTTCAAATTCAAATTGCCCAATTGAAAGCTCATCTGACAAACACTATTAAGACTCTCCAAAGTAGTCTTATGACAGAGATGAAGGAACTTAAAGCCGATGTCCTCATGAACCAAGCTTCCAATGAGAAATGCCTGAACAATTTCACGGAAACCTTGCGCAATTACGAGAGAGAGAACCGAGACCTTGCCAGACTCATCTACCGTTTCTTCGAAGAGATAGACGCCATCTGGAAGGTACTCGGAAAGGACAGAACATGCAACACCGTACTTCGTGAGTACCAAATTGAAGAAGGAATTGTCGAGGAAGAAGAGGAAGAAGAGGAAGAAGAGGAAGAAGAAGAAGAGAAACACGAAGAAAAGGAAGTTTGGTCAACCCTTGTTGCCGATGACGGTTACGAAATTTCCCAACCCTACCCATACCAAATCCGCAACAAGGAGACAGGCAAGGTTCTTACCCCAGTCCTCAACAACTTGGGACACTTGAACCTTAACCTTCGGAATCGCGGTTCAATCTCCATGGGCAAGCTTGTCGCAATTCAATGGGTTCCAAATCCAGGCAAGAAGACGAAGGTCAGACACATTGACGGTGACAAGCTCAACAACCGTAAGGAGAACCTCGAGTGGTTCTAAGAGTAAAAAAATTTTATTTTAGGGGGAAACCCCAAGTAAATTTAGGTGTTTATTTGGATAAGTATGTTAAATTAAGGGTAATTTGCAAAATTAGTTCCCGACCTTTGAATTGGGCTCTTTCGTTATCCCAGTTGCGTAGGAGGTCGTCCCAGAGGAGTTGGTAGAATTGCCAATCCAAGGACGATTTGTCCTCCCAGGCATTGAGGATGTACTGCTCGTAGAGTTTCATGACCTCTGCCTTGCACCAGACACCCTCTCCCTTGGAACGTAAGGCTTCTTCGAAGTGCTCGAATGCGATTGGCTGCGTGACCATCCGAAATGACACTTTTTGTCCGTTTGGTCAATGTTTGTGTCTCGTGCCATAGTCGACGAAAATACAGACAAACAGGTTATATATGAGTTTGAGACCAAGAATGGTGTAACTCGACCTGTCCGATTCAAAGACTCCGAGGGCGACCATGAAATTAAACGGAAATTAGCTAGGAAGGAATATAAAATGGACTGGTTGCCACCACCTCCACCTCCACCACCTTTACCTGTTCCTCAAGTAAATAAGCCTTTCCCGTTCCCAAGAATTCCCACATTTTAATTCAAATTCGAATAAAAATTTTTTATTTCATGCAATGTTTTATTTCTGTGCCGTCTTCAAGTATGCCCCAGTACTTACGCTTGGAGAGGACATGAACTTCGGTGAAAATTTTGTCCAATTTGAATTGACCCATCTTCTCACCGACTAAACCCATTTCAATGAGTTTGTTGTACCCTTCTTCGTTCGTCATGAGTGCGTCAATGTTCTCATAGTAAACCACAACTTTCGATTTGACTTCGGAGAAGAATTTGTTGTAGTTGTCAAGGACTGCTTTTGCGAACTGAGGGTAAGACCAATGTTCGACAATAGGTTTTAATGTGGTTACTAAGCCACTTTGACCTTGAGTGAATTCGTACTTCAAAACAAAAGGAGAAAACCTTTCAACAAAGTTGTCGACCTTCTCATAATGTTTACTCTTCATCTCTTGAGGTTTCTTAATGGAATATCCCCATGTCGAATTCATAAGCAATTTGAGTGTCATTGCAAGTTTGGGGTTTGAAGCTTTCCTAATATCATACAGTTGTTGTATGACTTTTCCAACTGTATAGTTCCTTCCCGGGAACTCACCATCTTCGTTTGGAATTCCAGTCGGAATATATTGGACAAACCTCATGTATGCAGCGTTAAGGTCGACATAGTATATCTTTTCATCTGAGTCGAACTTGTCGCAACCAATTGGTCCAGTTTGTGGAAATTCAAGTGAGTCTCTTATCTTCTGAGAAACTTCTCCTGTTATCTCATAAACATCGTCGAAGCAACCTGTTTCATATAAAACCTTCTGACCTAACTCAGATGCTCTCCAATACAATTTGACGTCAATTGGATGTCTCAATGGAAGTTTGTTTATAGCATCTTGAAGTTCTTGCAACCTCATTGGAAGTTCTTCTGGTTCAGGTTGGTATCCGAACAATCCAACTCCTTGTGGAATTGTGTACTTCTTTTGTACTAGAACTTTGTCTGGAACAACTTTTGGTCTTGCTAACAGTGAAAAGTTTGTTTCGTCTTTTGGTACAAAAGTTTCTGTCAGCTTGTCATCTGGAATTGGTTCCAACAAACCTTTCTCGAAAAGAATGTTTACAGCTCTGACAATGTTGCACTTGCCTTTTCCGAACAATGGGTTTGTAAGACTTTCGTTCAACATGAAGTGGTTGTGGACAATTACAATCTTCAACCATGGTAAATTGAACTCAACAACATAGTCGTCATGTGAAGAACCTTTAGCTGTAGGTATGTTGACTCGGATATTGACATTTGCCAACGGTGCAATTTTTGCCAATTGACCTCTGAGAATGTACCTTGTCTTCACACATGACTCAAGATACTTCATCTTCTCATCTGTAACAAGACCAGAGTTCCTGAGACATGTAAGAATGCAAGGTTCATTGACAATTGTTTCAATTGAATTGTAAATTCCATACCTTGTCAAGTCAATGTCAGACTTATTTATGAACGGGAAGTATCCAGCATGTTGTCTGACTGCTTGAGGGTTAGGTTGGTACCATTCGAACTTGACACTTGCAATTCCTTCAATTGCATTCAAAATGTCTGAGTCGGAGTCAACCATTTGTTCTCTCTTTGTAGTCTTGAAAGCGTCAAGAAGTTTTGCAGCTGTTTGTTCATTGCCATTTGCATAGTAAATGTGACCATCCAAATCTGTTATGGTCAATCTGAGATTGTATCCTTTCTTATTTCCATCTTGAATTGCAGCAAGTACTCCCATGAAGCCTTCTTTGTTCTTTCCTTCGTCAAAGTTTACTGTAAAGGTTCGACCAGATGTAATTTGACTTCTAACTTCACGGTACTTCTCATATGCATATCTTGTTCTTTCCATGGGAGCATGACCATCCTCTGCACTACCTTTTTTCCTTCTCAAAGGATGCAATTGTTCGTCATGTTTCCAGTAGAATCTGGCAAAGCCGTCGTGTCCTTCAACTTGAGGTTCACTAACATCGAAAGGCATGTTCATAAGACGTTCTTCTTCTAACCTCTCTAGTCTGTTTGGATAATTTGCACGTGCTGTTTCCAAATCCATTTCGTAGCGAAGACCAGCCAGTTTGTCATAGACTTTTATGGGTCTTCCTTTCTTATATTTAAACTTCTTCGAAACTCTCCAACCATATCTTTGTAACTCTGCTTTTATTCTAGCAGACTTTCTATCCATTCTATATGGGGGCATTTTTATAAAAATAAAAAAATATTTTTTTCTTTACTTAACATAACCGCCTGCTGCCATAAGTCTTTGACGCCAACCCATACCAGCTAATGAAGGTTGACTTGGTTTAGTTTGGAAACTAAACTTTGGTTTTGGTTTATCTTCAGTTTTTGGTTTTTCTTCTTCTATCGGTTTTTCGTCACTTTTCGGTTCCTCTGACTTTACTTCACTTGCAGGAACAGTTGTGTCGTCAACATCTTCATAAATATCATATGCCATTTGTTTTTGTTTTCCTTTCAACTTTTTGTGTTTGTTGTAAAGTTTAGAATATTTCGACTCTAAGTCAATGAGATGTTCTATAATGAACTGTTGGTCAGTGAAGTAAACTTTTCCATCTGTTGTCTCGAAAGCTCCTTCAGACTTCAATATTTTATTTGTGAGAGTCTGTTTCTTTTTTGAGATACTAGCCGTTCCATTTCTATGAAAAGTGACTTTGTAGTTAGGGTTTGTATTTCCAGACCTGGCACTTTCTATTATTGAATTTTTCTCTTCATCTGTAAGTTCTTTGACAGGTTTTGACAATGGTTCTGAACTTTTTGTTTGTGGTGTCAAATCTACCGTTTCAACTTCTTCGGTCATTTCATCTCAGTAAAAAATTTTAGTTTGGTTTGTTTTCAACTGGTTGTTGTTGTTTTTTAAGTCGGTCTAAAACTTCCTGAGGTATAGGAAGAACTTGACAAACACGTTGTGTAACTGCTGGAAGCCGACAAATCCATCTTGAACCCATTTGTCTCAATGCTGTATTGTTCATTTCATCTCAGTAAAAAACTTTACATTCCCCACGTTTGAGGCGGTTGAGGTTGGTTATTGTTTACCCATTGTTGTGCATGGTTATATCCTCTGTTAAAGAATCTTTCACCTTGGTCCATATAGTGTCCTGCTTGGTTATAGTAGTCATTTGCTTTGTTATAATAGTTTCCTGCTTGTCTTCCTACATTGTCCATCCATCCTTGAACTTTTCCTCTTGTTTCAGGATTTGGAATAAGATTTGTTGCATCTCGTGCTACATCCCAACCTTTCTGTACAGTTTGTATAATAGGTTGTGCTTTCTCTTTAAGTATACCTAATGTACTCAAAATCTTCCTTCCAACTCCAAATACACCTCTGGCTATTGTTCCCACTGCGGGCAAAAATCTGGATGCAACTCCTGCTAATGCGCCAAATAAACCCATTTCTTATAGGATAAAAATGACGAATCCAAACAAGGACCCCTATGTTTCTAAAGCGACAAAGAAAGCACTCATGATAAAAATCTTTAGTTCAACACCAAATGCTTGGTTTATGGATATCTTGGAAAACATTCCGAGTATAGAGAAGATGGACCACCATACTGGCTAATATTTGTTGGTCAAAACACAAGATACTGTGAAGCCATACCATTATGGTCCAAAAATATTTTAGATGTGAAAACTGCTTTGACAATATTCGTTGACAAATACCATCCAACAAAACTGACATCTGACTGTGAAAGTTCTTTCAAATCAGATGATGTAAAAAACTATCTGCGTTCAAAAAATGTAAACCAATATTTCATTGTCGACCAAAACCATTCTGCTCTTGGTGTCATTGACGGTTGTATAAAAATGTTAAGAGACTTAAACCAACCACAAGGTGGTGAAGCAAATGAAATGTCATATGACGACAAATATAGACACTTCTCCATGGCAAAGATGAGACAAGTTTTAAATATTTACAATAGCCGTAAACAAAAAGGTTTGGGAAACCACTCCCCCGAAGAAATGAAAAACAACCCTGACTTAGAGAAAGACTATATATTTAATAATTTAGTCAAAAGAGACAAACAAGAAAGAATGCCGGGCTTCAAACTTCAGAAAGGTGACAAAGTAAAAATAGAAATACCTAAACGCGACCCATATGAAAATACTATTGACTATGACAACAATGGGAACCCGACAGGTACTCACATTCGTGTTCGTAAAAATAGAAGAAAGTATACAAGAGAATATTATGAAGTTTTAGGCAAACATGGCAAAATGTACACACTGCAAGCAGAAGATAAAACTACTATTGTCAGACCTCGTTTCAAACTTGTCAAAGTTCAAGGTGGTATACTTTCAAAGACAGTTCCTAACAAATATAAGACAACTCCTGACGAATATGCTAAAGAAGTTGAAAATGACGACTAAGCATTTCTATACCATGCGTAAACTGTCATGTAAGGTGGCATGTATTCTTTACTTTGTCCCGTTGTTTGCGTATATCCTGAAACGCGATGTGTATGGATTCCTCCTCCCTCAGTGTTATTCCAGTAACAATTTATAGCAAACTTAACGTCCTCTTTAACATCATATCCTTTACCTTTTGTCATTCCTGACCAATCCCAAAATCTATGACTATGCAAACCTGCTTGAGATGTACTTAAATCTATGTAGTGACTGTGTGCAGGTAAATTTGCACCTGAAATCGTTTTACTTCCACCTGTTTCCTTTGAAGAGTTTGCACAATACAAAAACCTGTCGACTATTTGAGTCCAAGTTCCAAAACCCAGAACTGTTTCTGGTCTGGTAGAGTTCATTGACGTATAAATAGAGCCTATAGGATATAATGTTTGAAGTATTTCTGTCTTTAATGTTTGAAGCTCTGTTTTGTCTGCTTTCTTGTCATATAAATCTTGAGCAGTGAATTTAATATTATGTTCATCCTTCATGACATAAACATCTTTACATCTAATGTTTCTCATCGTCGTTATGTCGTCATCCGATGTTAAACCTTGTGGAAAGTTAGGAGGTTTACAATATAATGCATCCCCACCAGTTTCTTCAACCGTTCCTTCAATACTTTCTATAGCAACAGTTGTAAAACTTGTATGTGTATGGTTCTTATCTGCTTTCTTCTCTAACTCATCGTTAACATAAGTTTTATCTGCTTTAAGGTCTAAACATCCTGAAACCCATCCTGTATCGGCTTTAGTTTTTAAAATCTTCGATGTCCGTTCATGGTACCAGTCAACCCTTTCTATAATTTCTTTATCTTTTTCATCCACATATTCCTTATCCGCCTTCTTCACTAACACACTAGCCATAAGTCCCTTATCTACCTTATTTTCAAGGCTAACGTTTAAGTCTGTTATTTCAGATATAGAATGTGTATGAGTCTTTTTAGAATATTCGTTTTCAGCTCTTGTCACTTCACTTGACATTTTATTGTCAACATATGTTTTGTCTGCTAGTTCAGGATGAGTATGTTCTTTTGTTGCATAAGCATTGTTAGCTCTTTCTTCTTCTTTTGCTATTGCATCGTCTACATATTCTTTGTCAGCTTTGTTGTCAACATCTGCTTTCAAAAGAAGTTCATTTATAGGTTTCTCGTTTAAAGTTCCTTTTGTTGGATTTATACAGACAGTATGGTTCTTATTGTCTTGAAACAGAAACTCATCTGTCATTGGGTTTAATGTCAGTTTTAAGTTTCCTTCTTTCAATGACTCAGATATCTTAGAATAGTTTGAAAAGTTTGTTGTGTTCTTATTTAGAGCTTGCATAATGAGTTGTCGGTTGTGTTGTATTTCTCTCATGGAAGCAATATCTTTCGACATTTTTATTCTAGATAAAATATGCTTCAATAGAAAAAGAAAATTCAAGAGTTGCTACAACTAAACCATTAGATGAACTTTTTACTAATGTCGGTCAAAAGTTTGAGACAGAGACCGTAAAGCATGAAGGCTATCGTTTTGACTACCCATTAAGATGGCTAAGAGACCCATCTGTCACAAAAGCTATTGGCTTTCGTAGAATGAAGTTCATTTCAGAAGCCATACATGGTTTCCCATTTAACGGTCGGTTTTGAAGTTCGATACTATAACAAAGAAAAACGTATGTATGAGAAATTTGAACAGGGAAAACTTTTACAAGTTAGTTTGCTTGTAAAACTTAGAAACAACTCTTCAAGCTTTTCAAGAAAAAATAAACGATATCTATATCGAATATGCAAAACAGTATAACATTGACGAGGGAGAGTACCATCTCGATATTATTTATGACAGGAAAAATGCAACTGTTAAAATCAATAGAATAGAAGACCTTGGAGAAAACGTTTATATTTCTACAAAATATAACAACTTGGCATGGTATAGATTTGAGGATGTTAAATCAGCCTGCAGCATATCCAGTACACCCAGACTTTTATGAAGTCGAAAACCCTAATGGAACATATGAAAATGTTTTCGACCAAGATGCTATTATTGTTCATGCTTCATTTTCTGGCGCCCAAAACTCTTTCTTATGCTTGGCAAATGACTTTTACGAAAAACCTACAAAGTTATACGAACCACCAAGTGGAAGTATTTCAGACTTTCAAGTATGGTTTACTACAGATGGAAGAAAAAGAATAATTCCATTATACCATGCGTTTACTTAGAACTTAGTTTCATATACAACTACTATCGAACGGTAAAATATAATTTTTTAATACGGTTGAGGTGTTGGATTTGGTTGCCAACTAGACTGTGGTGCAGGTTCAGGCTGTTGTATAACAGGAGCTTGTTCTTCTGGTTCAGGGTCTTTAGGTATAATACCAACGAACTGACCTACTCTTTTACCAATATTTTTGACTCCGTTCCAAATTCCCTTCCGACAGATTTTATTCCATTCCATATACCTCTTCCAACTTTCGAAGAAGTTTCCTATTTACTGAAGAACCCATTTTACTATATGTAAAAATCTAATGTCCGCCTAGTCTCTTACGTTTCCTGTTGAGTTCCATAGCATTCTTTAACTGGAGCTCATACATTCTGTTTCTCCTCTGGTAGAAACATATTCTGGGTCAACTCCTGTGTTCGCGTCATCTGCATAAAGTTGTTTATATCCCACTTCAGGGTTTGTATAAAACTCTTTCCATCTCATATTTGCATACCATGGTGGCAAACCTAACGCAGCGTCATTTGACATGGCAGTTTGCATTTGTACATCTGTTGGCACTTGACCATAGTTTGCCATTGCAGTTTGTATTCTAAACTTCATTGGAATATTCTCTGGGTTTTGGTTGTCCAGGTTGCTGTGTATTCGCTAAGTTCTGTGCGTCCATTTAATATTAGATAAAAATCTCTCTTACGAGTACATATACTGAACATTTGCAGGCATTGGTTCATCTTCATATTCTCTGTACTTTTCTGCCACGTCAAATAAATAAATGACACAATGGAAAAAACCTAAAACAAGTAGTCCTATTTCAAACCACATTTACTTACTAATAAAATTTCTTTGTTATGACACTTTCTCCGGTTTATAGGACCTCTCTCATATTCTATCTTGTCATATCTAAACTCATAGTCATGTATGTCCTCTAACCATCTCATAACGGTTTCCAAACCACTTTTATCGGATGTAAAGTAAAAGCATGGATGGTTATGTATAACGTCTAAAGTTTCTAAAAGAGTCTCTCAAAGTCCAGTCTACTTGGTATTGAAAATCCATGTGTTATAGAACGGCGGTCCACTATAAAGAAAACATTTTCCTTGTCTTTATATTTTTCATACAACTCTGTCAATAACATCTCACAAACTCTATACCCTCAATATATTTTTCTATGTCCTCTTTGAAAACATTTGTATAGTTAAGATATAAAAACTTTTGACATAAGTGTTTCAATGTCATGAACTCTTATAGAACCACTATATAATAGTCTAGCAGATATACTATCCCAGTCTATATATTCTGCTTTTTTCAAAAACCTCTCTCACAATATTTTTCTTATCTAATGGTATACGTTCCATCTTACCTATAGGTATCTTTTCTTTTAACTCACTCAATATTTTGTTTGTGTCTGGAATATGTTTGAGACGGTCCATATAGTTGTCGAAGTCATTGCATATAATCTTTGAGTCTGGGAATATTGTATGGCACAAATGGGATATATAGAAACTTCCACCGAACAAATCTACAAATGTTAGACCATTCGGTAGTTTCTTAAGTTCTCTCAATATAATATCTTTACATTTACTCTTATTTCCAAAGAACGGTAACGGTGGTTTTGTAAAATTCATTTATATATAATAATAAAAATGTTTTTTCCTGAAAAGTGACAGAAAAGTGACAAAACATGAAAACATATATAATTTGTGAAAAGCGACACATTATATAATGTTTTCGACCCAGAAGAAGGCTTCTTCCCAGAAGCAATGGAGGAAGAAGAAGAGTCCTCCGAATTCACACCAGAAGACTAACAATTTTCCGAATAAAAACTTCATTTATACTAAACATCTTCGGGGCTAGAGGGCACGAAGTGCCTGGAAGCCCCACTACCTTTTTTTTTTTTTTTTTTTTTTTTTTTTTTTTTTTGACAATCTATTGTTTAAGCTAAAATACATTAAAACTGATCAGGATATCAACAAATGAATGAAAAATCTAATATTATGCCTTCATATATTGATGATTCTATTGTTAATTATTGAAAGCTTATTTTAATAGTTATACTATATAGACGTGTAATGATATTAATCAAATTCTAATATGTTTTAGTTCATTAAAGTTTAATATTTTGAATTTATCTATTACGTAAGTAGCAGAAAAATAATGTAATAAGAAATTCTATAAAGAGCCTGAATAAACAGGAACTTTTTTAGAAAAAGAAATAGTACAGATTTTGAGTATCAATACATGATTAATTATAACATATCAAACATGATCTCAAGCTGCGTATATGGTGCTGGCAATGGTTCTGAGGATGGTCCGGATAGAGGAATGTAATTCGTAACTAACGGGATATTATCTGCTAAATCATCTTCTTTAGCTTGCTTAAAGAGCTTTGAGATTGGTTCTCTGCCAAATTCCATGAGATTGTTCTCACGGTCCTTGCGAATTGCTTTCACATGTTTATGTAGTGAGCTCCAATTTTCATTGGAGCTCCTGTTACACGACCTATCATCATTTATGTTTGCAGTCATTAGATAAGGCACCTTGTAAAATGTGCGGCAAAATTTTTCATTCAATTTAATTGTATACTTCACAAAATAAATTGAAAGGATTTACATCTTGAAAAATTTTGCCACTTTCCAGAAATTCATACCGTTGCAATTCATTATTAATCATTACCTTTTGGAAGTTATTAAGGCTGTGGATGAAATTGATATTAATGGGTTTTTTAGCAATATGCAGGATAATGAAAAATTAATTTTATGAAGAAGTTGATATTCTTCAGTGTGATAGGCATTAAACAACATAAAACTAATGCTATTAACTAATATAATTATTGAAATATTCCCAAAAAAATTAAGGGTGCCCCCGCATGTACGTTTATTTGAGAGTAGGAGGATTACCCTCTCAATTTTGAACGCTTCGTTAGCGCAATATCTCGATGAATATTGTATTAAAATTGAATTTGCCCATACCAATATATCTGATACAATATCCTTAAGTTTTACTAAAAAGAATTTTTTAAAATCCCTGTAGATTCGGGGATTTTTAAATTTTTTGATTTTTTTCGCAAATTTTTCGAAAAAAAATATTTTCAGAAGAGCCTTAACGGCTAAGTTTTATGTTTAATGTTGAGTATCAAAAAGAATGGGCGTCTGATATAGCCATCATATATCCCAGAAGCAAATAAAAATTCTGACTTTTTAAGCATAAAAAAATGAAATTTTATTTTTTGCAAAAAACAGGCCACCCGGATGTACGTTTATTTGAGAGGAGGAGGATTAAATTTTTGAAAGCAGTAAAATTTGTAAATATTCTAGTTATATAATAATATGTATTATTTTAAAAAATAAAAAATTAAAGCACGTTAAAATCTTTTTTGATGAATTTTTACAAAAGCTACTTAGGATTATGCAAAATATAGTAATTAAACATAAATTTCAAATCAGATTTTACTTATGATAAATATTTTAAATTTCCGAAAATTAAGTTCAGATCGACTCGATACGTTGTAATTACTAAATAAGGTGCCAAAAACCTATTAAACAGTATCAAAACTATCAAGATTGTAATGTTTTTGAAGAAAAATTTATAGAATTATGAACTTCAAACAGATATTATGTAAATAAAAATAATATAATGGATTTGTTTATTCGTATAATAGCAGCAATAAGTCGATTATTCACTTCTACTTCTGAGATTTGAATTTAATTTCGACAGAAAAAGAGATTCAAGAGGAAAATACTAGGGAATACAAACTGCCACCATGACAGGATTATTATGGAGCCAAGTTGTACTTTTTGATATTTTTAGAGTTTTACTACCTATTTAGGTACCAAGTAATTGCTTAAAAATTAAGGTTCTAAATTCTGAAGTTTACATGATCCTCCCGGGCGCACCCTTAAAATACTAAACAAATTTAAAATTACACAAAATACCAAAAAAAAAAATAAAAATAAAAAATAAGAAATTAGAAGATACCTTCACTTGGTCTTGATGGAGTATTTGGAATGTCTAGTTCTTGCCTATTATAATTAATGAATGTCATATTTCTTCTAACCAAATAAACAGATTTTCTCCATTCTGACTTGAGAACTGCCTTCTGATTGTTCTTTGCAGTATCAAGTTTACCAAAGTATTTCATCTTGAGAAGGTTACCTACTGTTGTTCTTGAATTTGGATCGATCTTAAGGCAACGTGATATGACCTCCCTAAGATTTAAATCTTCAACCTTTTCGTTGTTGTATTCGCACTTTTTAATCTGATCTTTAAGTGACTTCATATCTTTTGAATTAAATGGCAAGCTTTTAGATGCCATGAAATATAGGATGCATCCGAGTGACCATATATCAGAGCACATTTCATCGTATTCGGATTGCTCGATTACTTCAGGTGGAAGGAAATAATTCATAGTTTTGAATCTTGCTGGTGCATTCTCCTCTTGTTCCTGAACGATGTGTTTTAAGCTAAGGAAGTTGATCTTGATTTTTCCATTTTCATCTATTAAAAAATTACTCAAAGTGAAATCACTGATTGAAATATTATTATCATGGCAGGTTTTAACACATGTAACCACGTCGTATATGTAGTTCCTAAGGATTTCTTTGGAAACCATCTGAGGTTCTGTGATCAACTTTTCAAGATTAGTTGGGCAGTATTCCATAAGTAAATAAACTTGGTCATTAAACTTGAAATACTGTGTAAATTTGAGCAAGTGGGGATTGTTAATAGCAATTATATTCTCTAAGTCTTTATCTTTAAAGATAAATTGAGGATATTTTTTCATTGCAAATTTCCTTTGTTGACTCTCTGAATAAACAAGATAAATCAATCCGTTTGCCCCACGAGCGATAACTTTCTCATATCTTAAACCATTTTTTCCGAAGAATTCTAGCTCGCGATAATTCATATCAGTAGAATTTTTTTATAAATTGTTTTCGATATTGAAATTAATCGGTTATCAGAATTAATAATGCATTTAAATTTGTGGATTATAATTAAGTAGGTATTGAATATGAAAATGCCCATCAGTTTTAAGAATTATTTTTGTGAAATTTGAATGGATCATTGAAAAAGTATTTAAAATTTAGAAATTCATTATTTAAATTTGATATATATTGTTTTTGATAAAAAAAGCAATTTGCCAAAATGAAATTAATTTGAATCCGTTCTCAATATGATAATCGGCAAATAAAAAATATATTGTTCAAGAATGTTATTTATTAATAAACGAATAATGAAAATTTGAAATAATTATCAAAAATTTAAAAGTTTGATAAGGTCAGTTTTGAGAAAAATAAATATGAAATAATATATATTATATGATGAATATAATTTTTCAATTTCAAGAAAATTTACGTTGGGATATTTTTATATGATTATGATGAGATATGGTCATGGATCATTTATTCATTTTTCAAAAATTGAAATAAATCTTATTAATAAATTTTAGAAAAATAAGCATCATTTAAATCTTATACACAACACAAATTGATAAATCTAGCATTATATTTTCAAAGTGAAGTTATCCACTTTTTTTGTCTACAGTTTCCCTTCTTTATATCTTTTTATTCCGGAAAATAAACTGATCATTATTCAATTCATTTCTTCATTATTTCTATAGAAAAATAGTTTCAAAAAGAATCACAATCAACATCTTAATTTAAATGTTATAGGAAATCTGAATATTCTATGGAAATATTTCGAAACATCAAATAAACTTTATTTACATTTTAAGGGTCTACTGTAAGGCCAAATAAGGCCTATCGTCGCCCCAAAAATATTGCTCAAGATGGTGTTTTTACTAAGGCCCAAAACTTAAAAAAACACAAAAAAATTAACTTTACTCTTTTGAGATCCTTATCAGATGTGCAACAATTTGATGCAGTATCGCAATTCGAATCCGATTTTTTAATGTAGATGTACTCTAACATTCTTGAAAAAATGCAAAATGATATTAATCAAGCTTTTCATTTCTGTATCATACACGAAACAAAATCATTCATTATACTAAAATTTATCAAAATTTGAATAATGAAAAAAATAATATCTAAATTTTTACATTGAGTCGGCTATTGATATGGTCAATATTAAATCGTTTAAAAATGGGCATTGGCCAGAATAATACCCACTAAAATACACATTTTTTAAAATTTTATCAATTTGTTTTGGTATATCTTTATGATAATGAATAAAATGCTTATCTTTCATAAGTCAATACATAATTTATGCTGAAACACAAAAAATAACACGAAAATTTTTGGCCAACATTAGTAGTAGGATAGGACGGGTTGTGTGACTTTTTTTGTAAACGTAAGAATTCATACAATATCGAGCGATTTTGTATCATTTTTTTTAACATATGAAGTAAAAAATATATGATTCTTACGGTTTTTATTCTCACGTTTTTGAATAAATCAAGATTTAAAAAATTTTCAAAATTGTAAGACATTTACACTCAGCCCAAACATAATGAAATAAACCATTAAAAAATTAACATTAATTTTAAAAGAAGCTATATATAGATGATGTCAGATATTCCGCGATTAATTAAACATTGTTTAAATCCTGAATGGGTTAAACTTCAATTTAAAAATGAAGATTGTGAATTATTAAATGAATATGAAAGCCAAAATAAGCTAATGAGGTATAAATATAATGATAAAGAATATTTAATTTCATGGAATCAATGGAGTCATAAACTTTAAAAAGAATTTGATGAGTTCAACATTGAACTTTAAGAAACTAATGATTATTTGAATTTAAGTAGTAGAATATGATGGGTTGTGTGACTTTTTTTGTAAACGTAAGAATTCACACAATATTGACCGATTTTGTAAGTAATTTTCATACAATCGATAAAATAAATGTATGTTTCTTACGCTTTTTATTCTTACGTTTTGAAATAAATCATGATTTAAAAATTTTCAGAATCGTAAGAAATTTTCACAAACCCTTTACATAATGAAGTAAAAAATAAAAAAATTTAAAAAATAAACTTTAAAAATTCATGTCTTACGAAAATTTAACCTTAATTTTAAAAATAATTTATTTTTTATTCTTACATAAATGACCCAACAAGTAAAACCCGATAAAGTGGATAATAGAATTTTAGAGGATGGTGTTCCTGTTTACATTCAAAGATATAAAGGAAAACAATATTACAGAATGATAAATCCTGAATATGTGAAACATATATTTAATAAAGAAGGATGTAAAGTTTTAAATATTGAAGAGTTTGAAAATACTAAATCTATAATAAAATATGAATTTAGGAATAAATGTTATACAGTTTCATATTATGAATGGAAAACCGATAAGATTAGAAAACATTTAGGAGATTATGGGGAAAAATCTGAATTCTTTAAATCTAGTATATACGAGAGAGTAAAAGAAATCAGATATAATTATTTTCATGAATAAAATAATTTATTTTTTCATCTTTTATAAAAGAAGCTATATATAGATGATGTCAGATATTCCGCGATTAATTAAACATTGTTTAAATCCTGAATGGAATCAATGGAGTCATAATCAAAGACCTCATAAACGCATTAAAAAATTAAAGAAATCAGAAATAATTATTTTCATGAATGAAAGATTCACTACCATAATGAAATACATAATGAAATAAAAAAATAAAAAAATAAACTTTAAAAATTCATGTCTTACATTTTTGAATAATTTATTTTTATTTTGTATGAAATGAGCGTCAAGACTAACGACGTTAAAAAATTGGGATTCACAAATGAGGAAATAAAGGATATATTAGATGAGATGTGTTATGAAGTTAGTAAATATTATTTAAGAAATTGTCAAAAATTTGCTGAGTTATTAAATGATTTAGATTATGATGGAAAAATGAATAAAGATGATGTTATAAATTTCTTATATCCTACATCTGAAGAAGAAAAACCTAAAGAACCTGATGTTTTCCCTGAATATTATGAAGAACGGATTAAAGATGATGAATACAATGAAATTGAAAGACTGGAAAAAATAAGAGATGAAATAGATGAAAAAATTAAGGAATTAAGAGAAGTTGAAAATGAAGTAGAGGGTTTAATGAATATCCCAGCTTCAGAATCAGAAGTTCAGAAATCTCATGAAGAAAGATATAAAAATTATGTCTCAGAATCAACACAAAATTTATTAGATGGTGAAATAGACGAAACACTTTCAGAAGAAGGTACTAAATTTATACGTAAACATAAGTTACAATTTATTGATAATGAAAAATACCCCTGTATATTACTTTCACCTCCTCTTGATTCTGAAAAATTCAAAAAAGCACTGAAAAATGTAACATATGCAACTAATACGATTAAGAAAGAAGATCATGATATTTACACAAATTATTATTTAAATAAATGTACAGGTGTTGATAAAGTTTTTGATTTATTAGATAAAATATCAAAAGAAACCATTGGAACATATAAAATTTTGTGTGATTGTGGTTTCATTATTGAAGATATCAATAATGTTTCATATGAAAGAACAGCACCGAAGGAAGACGAAGTTGAAAGGTCTATACCATTCGTTATTAAGAACATAAAAGATATGAAAACTTATAAACATTATATTTATTCATTTATTTCAGAAAAAATGGAAGCAACCCATAAAACATCTTCTCATCATTTTATATAGCTATTCATACATTCCTTTTCAAAGTTGTGAAATTAAATAAGACAGGAATTAGATTTAATGTATCAGGGTACGCATTCTTGAGTAAATTAAAATGTATTCGTCACGTTGCAGATGATAAAAATTTATGGTGTTCTTAATTCATTTTATGGACTTTAGCCCTGGACTCTCTGAGTCTCGGACTTTAAAAAAAATAAACTTTATTTTTATTTATTTTTTAATTTTTATTCTTACATAAATGAACAAAAATGGAACAGCTAAAATGAATGATAATCAAATAAGAGCCGAAGGTAGAAGGTTATTTAAACGCTTCTATAACATTCCTGATGGTGTTAATCCTAAAACTCGTAGAAGTTATTTAAATGAAGCCATAGATGCATATGAAGGATTTGACATTTCATCAGAAAGTGAGAGGTTAGCAAGAATGTTAAACGTTAATATTGATTTTTATTATTGTGACCCTCAACCAGAAGACGTAGACATTAACAAGGTAGACTTTCCATTAGTGGAATCAATAATGATAGATCCAGAATTTGAAACAGTAAATATTTTATTAACACAGAGTCCATGTGGAAAACTTCACGCTGACAGAATTACAGACGTTGAAGCACTCACAGGATATAAAGTTTGCCCCTTTTGCAAAGAAGAAGTATATTCTATCCGTGATGATCCAGAAAGGAAAAACCAAAGAAGATTTTTAAAACATTGTGAGAAATGTAAAGAAAATAATGGAAGATTAATTCAAGACGTTCAATTGCAAAACACACAACAACCATATGCACCACATATCACGAAACAGAAGATATATCAATGGCTATTAGCACATAATTTGCAGGAATATTATAAACCAACAAGATATTATATTACTTTTGACTTCGAAACATTAGAGACTAAAGAAGAACTTCAACTTTCTGAATGTGCAACTTTGAACGCTTACTTAAAACCATTTATGGTATCATCAACTGTCAAAATAAAGCCGCAAAGCGGCGAGGTCGTAGACCGTGATAAAACATTTACGAGGAATTTTTGCTTAACATCAAGTGATTCGTTCATCTCTGATTGGATTGAATTTTTATTTTCAACCTGTTCATTAGTTGCTAAATCAAATATTGAACAATATGAAGAATTAATGAATACATTAAATGAGAAACAAAAGGAACCGTTAATGATACTATGATTCAAAGAGGTGGGGCACCCTTAAAACATTTATTTTATTTTTATACAAATGGATAACGTACATTTAAAAATTTTAATTGATGATTTAGT